GGGGGGGCTGGCACCGGCCTTGGGGCCGCTGCGCTCTCTGCCCCTCCCGGGGGGCCCTGGACAGGCCTGCTGGGCCGGGGGGTTGGGGTGCCGGCCGGAGACCGTTCTCTCCCGCACTGACCGTCAGGCTCTCGGAGGCCAATGTCGTGCAAGAGCTGGGGCACAGGCCGGAGGCGGGGCAGCGAGAGGACGCCCCAGGGGCAGAGTGGGGCGCGGCACAGGCAGGTCCACAGACCGGCTGCTGAGGGGGCGGCGGGGAGACGGGGGGCAGTGCCCGGCCTGGATGGACCGAGGCTGCGGCGGCTGCGGACCCTCGCCTGTGGCGCCCCCAGGGAGGCCGAGCGCCTGTCGTGATGAGGTGGATGCGGGGCCGGTTTAGGGGTCCGGGGTGCCCCCGTCCTGTAACTGGCGTGCTTGGGGCGTGTCGGTGAGGCCCCGCGATGGCGCCGCCTGGCCGGCGCGAGGATGTCGGGGCACAGGGCCGCGGAGATGAGGCTGCGGCGGGGTTGAGGGCGCCCCTGAGGCGGGTCTCCCCTCCGTGCTGGGGCCTCGGCTTGCTGCAGGTCAGTGGGAGGCCTGGGGGCCCCACTGCCCAGTCTGGGCCGCTCCTCCCAGCTGCTGGCCGCGCCGGGCTCATGCGGGCTGGCTGAGGGCGCGGGACAGGCCTCCCTGAGCCCCCGGGCCCCGCTCTGGGTCCTCGCCTTGTTTGGGGGGTCACCGCCACGGTCCTGTCAGGAGCAAGTGGGGGCTGCCCCCCCCGCCAGGACACCCCTGTACCTGCCTGCCCCTCGCACCTGGTGGGGTGCTCTGGTCTGCATTCTGAGCTGTGGGGTACACTTGTAGGCGGGCGCCCTGGGGGACACGTTCTGCCTGGCTGTGTTCCCGAGAGGGACCCCAGGGCGGTCAGTGGGTCGGCGGGCCAGGCTGCAGGGTGGCGGCCCAGACCCCAGCAGGGGCGTGGGGTCCACTGGCGGCAGAGCCGGGGAGGCTCGGGGCTGGGGTGTGGCGGTGCG